CTGTATTAGCAAAATTCTCTTATTATCAGGATGAAAGAAATAGTTCTTTGTACAAACACAATATTGCACTCCTTTTCCTTTTCGTTCTACTATCTAAACAATAAAAACTGCATTGGAATATAAAATATATGGCGATGATTTGTATTATTGAATGTTTTAGAGAAGCATTTGATTGACTCATCATTAATTTGCAACTTCATTCTGGACTCGATATTGTTCTGAGAAAAAAGTCATTTGTCTTCATACTAATTTGTTTATTTCAAAATTTTCATAATATCATTCTTCAAATTCTTTTTAAATATTATCTCACGTGACTATTTCAAATAATTTTCGTTACTTTTCAATTCTATTTATCAAGTCTTCTTTCCTCACTTGTGTGTCATCTTTAGTTGTTACAAGCTTTATGTTAGTAATTTTTTCGTTTTTCATTGAGTATTTAGTCCGGAGCGTTAGCGTATGACTATATATTTCTACGCAGTATGGCTCAAGATGTCCGGATGTCCGCCCGCTCAATAATTGAGCGATGCTGATTGGCTTTTGCAATATTTTTTTTTAGTTAGGATCGTTCAACGGTTCCCGTTTCCTAGTTTTATTTCGTTTTCAAAGCAGAAATTTATAAATATATATGCGATGATTATTAAAAAAGAAAAATTTGTTGCAAAAAAAAAAATTCCCATTACAATTTCACGGATTTTTTTTGTTACAACATTACAAAACGATAATTTTTACTTAAAAAAAATTGTCTTTATCATTTTAGTTAATCAGTTTTGGTTAATTTGCCGGCCAATTCGTTCCCTGGCCATAATATGTCCAATGTACTTCTAGATAAATTGTCGCCTGGTCAAATTGTCCACCTGCCGAATCGTCCTTGGAACTTATGTCCTCTGACCAATTTGTCTACAAAAAAATTTAATATAATTACATGGGTTTTTCTTGGGGAATTAAATATTTCTTTTTTTTTTTTCACAACACATTTCTTTTCTTTTTTTTATTTCGATTTTTTCAATAAATTTGTCTTTTGTTTTTGGTTTTAATTAGTCAAATTGATTTAATAAACCGACTTCGGAGCCTATGTTGAGGCAACATCTTGTTTTGTTAAATAAATATTACGTCATATATACCTAATATTATAAATTAAACGTAAAGATCTCCGAGAAAACTAGATTATTTATGGAAAGGATTACATATGGGAAGAATTTTAAAAATGAGGGCTGGGCAAGACAATAGATCTATGTCTCAATGAAAAATAACAAATCCGTAAAAATAAAATGGTCTTAAAAAACAAAAACCGAAAAGACTTGGAAACGAGAATTAAGGAATTAGAGCTAAGTAACG